ATTTTCAGAACGTGTCTCTTTTAGAAAAATGTAACCTGAGCTGCAATTTAAAATATCTGTCTCTATGTAAAAAAAAAAAAAAAAATAATAATCATTTGTGTGAATTTCAGATGAGAAGTTATCACTATTTATATTACATATGGACTATTCTCCTCATCATTTTTGTTATTATCACAACGTTTCGACCGTTATGCCCTACAGCCTTCATCTCGTCGATACGTGTAACCTTTAGCCAATATCTAACTGAAGTCTTTATTTAACGTATAGGGGCATATTGTTCTGTTGTGTTGACCATGTCTAGGGATATTTCGTCTAGTTCTGGTTTAGTTCTTATTTACTATTACTCAGTTATTGCTCGTCCAGTTTGCACAGAGACCAAGTACACACTTCTCGACCCTGGGGTTGAACTGAAAATTACAATGTCATCAAATGCACGACCGAACGCTTTAATCCAACAAGCACGAAAAACAAACCTGAGTGAAAAATTTGGAGCCTACCCAGACTTTCGGTGAAATAGACTGTCATATAGGAATAAAGTGTTGTTGCCGACACTGGAGTTTGAACACAGATCACCAGAGAGCAAACACAGGCGATCCCATTTCGAATTAAGTAGATCACGTGACCATAAAGAAAACGCATAAATAGTAAGTTGCGTAACATCTAATTGATCTCTATTTCTACACTATCCTCTATTATTATACGGATCACTATTCTCTATACTATTCACTATACTGATCACTATACGGATTACTATTCGGATCACTGTTATCGAGCAAGTACTATTAGTGCGAGTAATATTCGAAGGTGTCTGACATCAGTATTGTTCAACGGCGTTACTATAGTTGTAACTGCGATTACAAAGTCTCTACTACAACGAGCTTTACGAAAACGTATTGGCAAAATGACATACATGGTCCAGGGACAAAGGTGGGAACATAAGCGACACCTCAATCAGTTAAAAGTATATTCACTGATTTTGTAAGTCCACAAAAAGAGGTACCAATGGAAATATTGTATAACATATTTAACGTACCCACGCCACCAGAAATTAGTGAACCAAGAAGGTACAGTAAAAGAAAAAGAATAGCAACGGAATATTTGATTATTGAATCGAAACTGAAGAAATATAGACTCCAGAGGAAGTCATCTCAAAGAGGAGGTGTTATATAGGAATAAAGTGTTTTTGCCGACACTGGAGTTTGAACACAGATCACCAGAGAGCAAACACAGGCGATCCCATTTTGAATTAAGTAGATCACGTGGCCATAAAGAAAACGCATAGATAGGACGTAACGTGGCGTCTAAATGATGACTATTTCTACTCTATCCTCTATTACTATACGAATTGATATTCTCTGTACTATTCGCTATACTATACTCTATACTAATTACTATCGCTTTTCTCTATACTAATCATCTATACGGATCACTATTCGGTGGCTACTATTATTATCGAGCAAGTACTATAAGTGCGAGTGTTATTCGAAGGCGTTTGATACCAGTATTGTTCAACGGCGTTACTATCGTTGTATCTGCGATTACAAAGTCTGTACTTCAACGAGTATTACGAAAGTGACAAAGAGTATTCGTTGACATTGCAAAAGGGGCAACGAGTGTTCGTTGACATCATAAAATAGACCTTTCAGGGATGGAGGGAAGATGCTACCACATTCCTGCCTTTCGCTATATAAATACTGTAGAATAGAGAAATTTCTTCTAGTGAGAAACTGCATCGCATACGTTGAAAAATAAGGTTTATATACATGGCAGTTCCTTGGCGCTGCTAGTCACTTCTTCAGGCAGTGTGAAGCAGGTTATAATGATTTACATAGCACCAGGAGCGAAGAGGAGTTCCTGATTATTCTCCGGTTTAACGATTAGTTATAACATATTGCATTTTTTTATGACTAGACCGATTGTAACGTTTTTCTGGTTCTAAACGAATATTTTGCTCTCTTTTCCGTCCTGTGATCGTTCAGCCGGAAGTAACCTCCAACAGAAGACCAGTTCTAAGCGTTTGTTACACGGGGGAGAAATGGTAGGCCGTGTCACTTCGCAATCGATATTGGCATACAACTTCCAGCGAATCGAGTAAAAAGCAAATTCACATCTGTCAGCCGGCGTAATGTCCATCAGTTATCAATCGGAACTCGGGCAGGAAAACAACCTGAGCGAGGCGACTTCTTACTCATTCCGAAATGTTAGTCTTTGCTTTCTATTTTTCTTATGTATGTTAATTCTTGCTTATTTTACATCGCTCCAGGTTGGGTTTATTTTAGCGTGTTTCGTTTTCCTTTTTATCCATTTCTACATTTCAATTTATTCACTCATATATATATATATATATATATATATATATATATATATATATATATATATATATATATATAATTTTCTTCAGTTTCACCTTTCCAATCTTCTAATTTTATCACCAAGTTATTGCTTTTCTATTTTTTCTTAATGTTTTTTCTTTTTTTTTCTTTTTCGTTATGTCTTTGTTGATTTACAACTCGCTTTTACCGACTGTTTACGTTGGAGTTATGTACGTTTTCCTACCTTTTCACGGCGCCATCTTTTCACGACGCCATCTTTCCACTCTTTTTCACCTAACTTCCTTTTTGGCTATTCTTAGTTATTTTCCTCCTCATACCTTCTTTTAATTCTTTCTCTAAAGCGATTTATTTATTCTTTGACTTTTCATGAAATAATATTTACCTGCAAGTTGTCAAATGTCTTCCTTTCCTTCTGTCTATCCAATGCTTCTTATTTTAGTCTTGCCTCAATTTCTCCATTAATTCGTTGATTCTTTTCATCCCCCCCTCTCTTTCTCGTTTTCTTTCTTTCTCACGTCATTGCCTTGTTTTTTTTTCCTTTTTTTTCTTTTTACTCACTTTATTGCCTATGATTTTCTTTCTTTCTTTCTTTCTTTCTTTCTTTCTTTCTTTCTTTCTTTCTTTCTTTCTTTTCATGTTATTAGCATTGTTCTTTCTTCCTTTCTTTTTTCTCTATTTTAATTAAATTATTTATTCTTTGATTTAAGAGCTTTTTTCTTTATTTTTCTAATTTTTTTCATTCTTCTTATTCTTTCATATTTAGGTTTATTATTCTTAAATACATTCCTTTCTAAAATGTTTCTTTTTTATAAAACTACTTTCTACATATGTATCCCTTTTCTTTCTTTCTTTCTTTCTTTCTTTATTTTTTCTGTCTTTTTGCACATACCCTCGTCTCTTTCTTTTCAGTCTTCTGTTTCCTGGCTTATTTATTCTGTCTTTCTCTTTTACACACTCCATTGCTCTGTATCCCTAAATTCTTCCTGCCTTCCGAAGTTTGATCCATCCACCTTCCGTCTTCTTGGTTGCACGACCGTTCGGCTGATTGCTCGAAAACAAGCCAAGTGAAACCAACATATTTTCCCCTTTATTTCCAGGCTGTCAGGAAGCGCGCGAAATTGTAGCAAACAAAATAAATCACATACGGCCTATAACCGTTGCGTTCCAATAAATGCACATGATGTGTGTGTACTGAGGGAAGTGTATTTATATGTTCATGCCTTAAACTGGAAAATCATGAGAGGAATAACGTTTGAATAATTATCACTCTGTCTGTATGATAAGTGAAGACAAATATATGAAGACGTAATCCTTTACGAAAATAGTATCACACATAGACACATTCTCGTACGTACATAGACACAGAAAAAAATGAATATTCACACAACGACATGCGGAGAGAGACGCAAATATAAAGATAGATTCCCAAAGATATAGAGAGAAAACACTCTCTCACACAAACACACATTTGAGGGCACTTTTAGTTGCTTAATACAAGGTGGAATTTTAATCATTGATGGCGTGCGGGATTAAACGGGGAATCTTGATAAAAGGGGAGTCAGAAAATCAGTTAAAGTGTTAAAAGTTGCGAAATTATTAAAGCAAGAGATTAGATAGATAGATAGATAGATAGATAGATAGATAGATAGGGAAGGTAGGTAGGTAGGTAGGTAGGTAGGTAGGTAGGTAGGTAGGTAGGGAGAGATGAGAACACAATAAGTTAGAGAGAAAAAGACAGTCATAGATAGAGAGAGAGATAGAAAATATAAGAACCAATTAAAATAGATACATAGATCCATCGATAGATAGATAGATGAGAACACAGATAGATAGATAGATACGAACCAACTAAGATAGATAGAGTGATGGGAATAGACGAAGATATATATATATATATATATATATATATATATATATATATATATATATATATAGATAGATAGATAGATAGATAGATAGATAGATAGATAGATAGATACTTAACGTGCCTAACACGAGTAGATCATAGTTGGGGCGTGTTTTTTCTCAAATATACAATAAGCGAGGTGATGTATATATATATATATATCAGTATATATATATATATATATATATATATACTGATAGATAGATAGATAGATAGATAGATAGATAGATAGATAGATAGATAGATAGATAGATAGATACTTAACGTGCCTAACACGAGTGGATCATAGTTGGGGCGTGTTTTTTCTCAAATATACAATAAGCGAGGTGATCTTAACAAAAGCGAGGTTGAAAAAATCATTTAAAGTGTCAAAATGTCCTCAATTAATAAACGGTTTGGACTTAATACGCTGCCGGGGACCGGAAAAAAAAATAAACGTCCACATCGTTAATTCTATCCAAGCATGATGATTATATGAAACATGGATGTGAATTAATTGTCAATACTGTTTACATCATTACTTTCTTTTGCACATTTATTTTTTTACATATATGGGCGACTTACACAAGAATGTGTCTAAAAATATTGCTTAAAATATAATGTAGTGCCAATCAACGACATTCTGTTTCTGTTGTCGTCTCTTAATATCAATAAATAAATTTAATGATTGATGGTCTTATTGTGATTTGAAAATCGAATCTACTAAAGCATAAAGATACGGAAACGAAGAACTGAAATCGGGGTCACTGAGTTTACAAAAACAAATAAAGAAAGAATAGAAAACAAAATAATAAGAAAATGTCGCATTATTGGATAAATACATATATCAAGATAGAAAGATATGAAAAGATTGGTATATATATATATATATATATATATATATATATATATATATATATATATTATTGTCAATCACGTATATATATATATATATATATATATATATATACAGAGAGAGAGAGGGAGGGGAGAGAGAGAGGCAGAGGATGAGAGATAGATAGATTACCCACTAAGATAGATAACTAGACAGATTTATATAGAGAGAGTTATGAGAAGAAAATAAGATACATAGAGAGAAAGACAGAATCATAGATAGAGAGACAAATAGAAAACAGATAAAAACCGACAAAATAGATAGATAGATAGATAGATAGATAGATAGATAGATAGATAAGAACAGACTAAGATACATAGATGAAAACAAACTAAGATAGATAGAAACAAAGAAAATATATAAGAACAAACTAAGACAGAAAAATAGACGAAAACAGACGAAGATATATATATATATATATATATATATATATATATAGATAGATAGATAGATAGATAGATAGATAGATAGATATGGTGAGTGATATAGAAAAGCACCGGTTAAGATAGCTTGCTAGCTATCTAGCTAGCTTAGCCGTTTCTGATAGATAGATAGATAGATAGATAGATAGATAGATAGATAGATAGATAGAACAGATAGATAATAGATAACTTTGATGAAAACAAATCATTATCTCTTGATTAGAAACAAAGAAAATTTTTTAATTATAAACTTAGACAGAAAAATAGATAAACTGACGAAGATTTTTATATATATATATAAAATATCGTATATATACACGAGTTTATAGATAAACATAGATCACGTTCATAGTCGCGTCTAGAAATATATGTTGTTGTTTATACTTGAGTCTAAAATGACTACGGATTTGGTTTATACTCTAGCTTGTATATATATATTTATATATATATATATAGATATATATATATATATATATATATATATATATATATATATATATTGGTACGTTTTATATTTGGTAGGTAAAAATTTTTTAATTATACTTGAGTCTGTAGATAAAAATATTTCATTTTTATACTTGAATCTATTGGTAAAATTTACAATCGTGTTTCTAAGCTCACCAGAGTTTATAGATAAACATCTGTCACGTTCATAGTCGATAGATAGAAATATTCATGAACCGACAACTATATAGATCTATAAATGACGACAATTTGATTTATAGATGAGCTTGATATATAAGAACATATATATATATATATATATAGATATAAAGATAGATGGATAGATAGACTGAATAGGTAACAGATAGATAGATAGATAGATAGATAGATAGATAGATAGATAATAGATAGAAAGCGGAGAATATACTTACATACATTGGTAAATACATATATAGATAGATAGATAGATTCTGATAGATAGATAGATAGATAGATAGATAGATAGAAAATAGATGGATAGACAGATAGATAGATAGATAGATAGATAGATAGATAGATAGATAGATAGATAGATAGATATTCAGAGAACCGACAACTGATAGATAGATAAAGAGAGACGACAATAGATAGATAGATAGATAGATAGCGAAGAACATACGTGCATACATACATATAGATAGAAAGATAGATGGATAGATAGACTGAGCCAACAACAGATAGATAGATAGATAGATAGATAGATAGATAGATAGATAGATAGATAGATAGATAGAAAGCGGAGAATATACATACATACATACATACATATATAGATAGATAGATAGATAGATAGATAGATAGATAGATAGATAAACAGAGCCAACAACAGATAGATAGATAGATAGATAGATAGATAGATAGACAGACAGAGCCAACAACAGATAGATAGATAGATAGATAGATAGATAGATAGATAGATAGAAATTCACGTGAACTACCCTTAAATATCCCCGATACAGTTTAATTTTAAATACATATAATCTTAAGACAGGGCTGTTAACAAAAGAATGATCTCCAAAGTGCGAATTGCAAATTGGAGATACCAGAATCAAACAAGTGCGGAAATGTGAATGTTTAGGAAGTATATTAAAATAGGACGGATCGTGTGACACTGTTAGCATAGAACTTATGATTACACCTAGCCATCCCAATTGTAAAATGATTAACCCTGACTGTCAATCTAGTACTGCGCTTAGATACCCAAATGTATTAAAGAACTAAAGAAGCGATACATTACAGCGGTGGGGAAGTGACAGAAGAGAAGATCCCCGGTGAGGACCAACAACAATACAGATTCTTTTTTTGGTTTTTGTCAAGAATTTCTAAATATATTGCAGAAGCAATGATGGCAATATTTAATGCATGGAAAAATGATGGCAATATTTAATGCATGGAAAAATGGTAAGTTAGCTTAAGAATAACCATGTCATGGAAGATTCTATAACCGGAAGTTTAGGAGGTGTGATATTTTTTTCTCTGTTGATTTTGGTAACTGCCATAGTATTGGTTTTATGCGATTAATTAAAACAACAAACTTATTTCTATTGTAAAAATTATCTTTTTGACTCATAATTTCTTGCAATCTCCTATTTGCTACTGTTAACGTCATATATTTCTTATCAGTCAATATTGAAATTTTTACTGTTTTCGTAACGTTATGTATCGCTTTTACTATTTGTATTCGTTTTTGTGTGATGTGCGTTATTTTGTCTTTTCATGGCGCCATCTTTCCACTCCTTTTTGGCTTAAAATTCTTCTTGGATTATTCTTAGCTCTTTCTATGTTCACAGCTTCAGATTATTTCTCTAAAGCGGTTTCTTTTAACCTCACAACTTCATTGAGCTTTCATTGAATAATATTTACTTCCAATTCGTCGCAAGTCTTTATCTCCATCTGCCTATTTAACACTTCTTATTTTGTGCTGGCATCTTTGTTTTTAATTCTTTTATTATTTAATGTTGCATAACGTAATACTTTCGGCAAACATGGACAAAAACACGGAGTGTCAAAATGACGGCTGTTCCCATGACACCGCTTTTTGAAACTACCTTCAGTTCTAATAATCGCTTTTTAAAACAATAAATATTGCCCAAGAGTAGTTAAAAAAGCGGTGTGATTGGAAAAACCGTCCTTTTTTGACATTACGTCTTATTGTGCGCACAGTTATTCAGGTTTTCTTTATTTTCTTTGCTTGAATCGATTCGTCTTTTTTCTATACAGTATCTATGTATCTCTCTGTTCTTTTACATTGTTTGTATCTTTGTTAAAATTATATAAAGATTTAACGTTACTGAATGTGTGATTCTTATTTATTTTCTTTCTATCTTTTGATGGTACCGAAAACATACGTTGCTCGAACGAAAACAGAATTGTAGCGATCATATTTTTACAGGTGATATATCCTCCGAACGGTTTCGGCCGCTATAATGTCTTGCCTATTACAAATGTAGCTAAAGAGGGAAGTACATATAATTATTTTAGTTCTACAGAAGGATATTGTGGATGCCATATACGGAACATGTAAGTAAATTGAAATAGAAATGACGCTTATACAGAAGCAGTTGACATTTCTAAGACTCATAATAAAGAAAGAGGGTTTGGAGAATTTGACACTGACGGGGCTTAATGAAAGCAAGAGGAACATGGACGAATAATCTACCTAACGAATTGTATAGGGTGACCCAAAAAACGGGAAATTTTTAACAATCCAATAAAACCAAGAGTGATGGAAGAAAAATATTTTATTCATAGTAATTGAAACCTCAAAATATGCCATTTAAGAAACAATAATGGAATTTTTATTTTTTTAAAATTACGTTCTATAGATGGCGTCCTCCTGTACGAATGCATTCTTGAAATCTGGTATTGAGATTCCTCATTGACTGCTGCAACATCTCAGCTGGGATACTGTGAATTTCATCTTGAATTCTAAATGGCGAAATGTTTACTTGCTCAAGGTCACTGTCTCGCAGTGTTGCCACTTGCTCATGTCTGGCAATATGCACTTCAAAAATTCTCGATTTTTTTTGGTCACCCTGTATAAATGGATGTCAGAACAGTGAGTGGGAAGGATAATACAAAGAATAACACTGTAACTAAGATAAACTTAAAGGCGGAAAAAGTTGTGGAGAGCCATGATCGCTTATGTCCTGAAGGAACATGGCACACACCAGAGGTACGGGGGAAATCATACATCTAACGAAAATTTTGATGTTGTTATTTGGTTCACCATTCGTGACTAAAATTGAATGTCTGGCAAAATAGCGGCAGCTTCGAAAAAAAAAATCAACAATTTAAAATGGAATTGCGTCTTGATATAGAAGTTCGGCAATAAATAGTACAAATAAAACATCTTAATTAATAAATGAAGTTAAACAAAATAATAACAAATTGGAAAAAAAAAAAAAAAACCGGGGAAGTGCAGTTTTAAAAACACCTGATCATTTAATTCTAGATAGATAGATATTCAGAGAACCGACAACTGATAGATAGATAGATAGATAGATAGATAGATAGATAGATAGATAGAACATACATACATACATACATACATACATACATACGTACATAAAGAAAGAGGCTTTGGAGAATTTGACACTGACAGGGTTTTATGAAAGCAAGAGGAACATGGACGAATAATCTACCTAATGAATTGTATAGGGTGACCCCATAAACGGGAAATACATCTAACGAAAATTTCCACGATCACTACAATCTTAACAAACAGGATTTGAAAAAAAAACCCCAAAAAAACAAAAACAACAAAAAAAAAATACAACAAAAACAAAACAAAAAATTATTTGCTTAAGCAGCAGTTATCTATTTTACGATGTACTTGAATACATATTTTTCCTTTCTGCTGACGATTTACGGCCATATCATGTTGAAATACCGGTTCTCGTACGATCACCGAAGTTAAACAAACGTTGAGCCTGGCTAGTACCGAAATGAGTGACTCTTTGGGAATACCAGCTACTGTAAGCTTGGATGTGTAGGTGGTGTTAGCCGGAGATTCCAGTCATGTTCGTTATATTCACAAACGCGCAAATACCCCAGGGAAAGGTATGAATTCACCTCTTCCACCCAGTCAGGGGTTAATTAGTAGAACTTGTATCAGTAAAACATTATCTCCAAAAAATGTATTAGAATCTTAAAATATATTCTGGCTTTAAATAACCTTCAAAAAGTTGACAAGCCTTAAAAATCAATCAGTCAATCTACGCTTAATTAATTTTGCGCATTAAATTTAGAATTGATTTTTAGATTTGATTGGATCAATTGTTTTGGGGAAATCTACATAAAGTTTTCTAATTTTCTTGTCACGCAAGCCTCTCTGTGTTTTCATGGAAGCTGTTCAGATGAACTATATTAATTAATGGCACCAGTCTTAACCTTCGGGGCTAAGAGCTGCCATAACACGCACATTGTAGCGGACTACATTCATTCACTTCATGTAAGTTCCACTCTAGCAGATTCGTCCTACAGACCGCTGCTTTGTAGAACCGACCCCAAAAAGGATGCTTCCACGATCACTACAATCTTAACCTGTTCATGTATAGCGTCAACTGTTATCTTCCCCAAGTATCCCACTTAATCTGTAACCCTCTACCTTGAATGACACTTGTACCTTGTATAGAGTGAACATCACTGTAAAAAAACAAAATAATCATCGGTCTTTGTTTCTTTTAATAATTATTTTACACACGAAGCATATATATATATATATATATATATATATATATATATATATATATATATATATTAAGAAATGGACAAAGTCCGACAGTTATTTATTAAAGACATTTTATGTTTAACGTTCTTTTTTATAGATACAAGTCAAGTATAGATACAGAGCATTTACTTAAATACTTAAATGACGTCATTTGTTTACATTTGATACGCCAGAGCAGTACGAGATTCATGGAAGATTGAAGTTTATAAGTAGTAAATTCGACCTTGTTTACCGAACGCTCCTTTGTGGCCGATCGGTAAGGCACGTCAGCTTAAATGACGGTTCCGTATAGGATGCAGGTTCGAATCCTGTCAAAGGACGAATATTTTCTATGAAAATTTCTCGGACATTCAGGCCGGTAAATGTTATTTAATACTGTTTATTATAAACATAGCATTTACTTAAATACTTGTATCTATAAAAAAGAACGTTAAACATAAAAATGTCTTTAATATATATATATATATACTAACCTAATTACTTGCGTCTTGCTGTGTACCACACTTTATGTGCAAGAAAATAATGAATGATTTTTAAATCATTGTTATAATTTATGGAGAAGAATGATGCATTGCAATATTACCTCCATATGTAACCTCCATCTTCTGGTTTTCTCCTTCTATATTTTGGATAGGAATCATTCCCGTGTTCAAATTTAAATTCAATTTAGATCAAAGGAGAAAAAAAATCTTATATATATATATATATATATATATAAGTGAGCATCGAAGTCAATACTCAGAGACGACAGGCTGTTTCATGCTAGACGCAATCGTCAGGCGGCCTGACTTCAATGTTCACTTTTATTTTTATATTTATATACGCTCTATCTCTGATACTGACCACTTTATCCCATAAATATAGGACACCTTAAAACTATATTTTTCATATATATATATATATATATATATATATATATATATATATATATATATATATATATATATATATCAGCTTTCCGTTTATATCATTTGGATTTTTTGACATTTATTATGAGGATAAGGCAATGAAGGTTCAATCCCCACAAAAAAAATAAAAAATAAAAAAATAATGATGAGCTTAACGGTTTCCATAAAGGAAAACTCAACATTCATTCACCGAATAGTTAACCTTACTCTTGGCTGAAATTTATAACATCTTATTTATAATTATTAATTATCAGTGATTGATTATTTTACTTTCTATATCTAAAAATGTGATACCTATTTTGGCTGTTGCTGCTGTAGTGTTCAAGTAATGCATTTTATTATCTGTTAAAGTTCTTTGTGATTGTCTAGTGCCAGCCTATAAAGAATTTTCTTGTTTAAGAACTAAAGGATTCATTCGCTTGCAAGCATTTTAATCATTAATCTTTGAAAACGGTTGAATATAGCTGATAGTTTAAACATTTCTGAATGTGTTCGGCACCAAAATCAATATGAGATTCTATATGAGATTCTATATCTGACAAAGATAAATATATATATAAATTTTTTTTAAAAGATGTAATAAAGATAAATTAAAAGTAAATCATCGTATTGTAAGCTCATCACAGTTTTCATGGCAGATTACAAGCGAGCTACATTCCTTAGTTCTACAAATCAAGACATTCACAGCTCGGAGCCACATGTCAGATACCCTGAGTTGACTCATCCTCATTCTCATCATATTCTATTGGTAAGGAGGAAGTTCTTTTCAGACAGCTTCTTTCCCAGAACTGTTACGAAGTGGAACATAATCCTGAAAAGATGCTTTTCCGATCACTAGAATCTTACAATCCTCAAGTATACAAATGTCCATCTTACATACCCTCATCTTATGCACCTCTAACTCATCCCTCCTTGTATGCCCTAACAACAGTCTCATTTAGCAACCTTCTACTTGGAGTGGCTCTTGGGTTTTGTATAGTCTAAGCAATAGTATCAAAAATATAAATAATTTTTTATATATCTAGGAAGGCATATAGCATTTTTTTTTTATTATTTGGTAAAGATTTTTTTGTAATTCTGTATCGCCAGTCTATAAGATTTGATGAAGGAGTTTCTTGTTTAAGACGTAAAAGATTCATTCCCTTGAAGCCATTTTAAATCAGGAACCTGAGAAAACGGTTGTATGTAGCGGATAGTTTAGGCATTTCTGAACCGGATGGACGCCATATATGACATTGGTATGAGCATCTAGATCTGTCAAAGATATGAATATCTTTAGGGAGCAAGAATTCTTTTAAACAATTTATTTAACAATACAGACAAGATCTGTTTGTCCAGTGTCTTATTAAGTTTTGCCAACTTGATGTTTTATGGAATTGGTAAACATTCCAATGTAATTTATTTTAGTAGGGAGGATCCAATTAAATTCGCCTGTAGAAATATATGATTAAAAGGTTAATCGCAGTACCTTGTCAGTCGTTTTCAATGAAACCTGTATAAAAAGAGGCATATATATATATATATATATATATATATATATATATATATATATATATATATATATATATAATCACACACACATATACATATATAATTGTGTATTTAAGCAGCATACCTTCTTTTATACAGCTTTCATTGCAAATGAGTGACAACGCACAGCGATTAGCCTTTTTATTATAAATTCTTTGCATGCGTAAAAGAGATTTCTTTTATGGACATACAATATGTAAAATTTATTTGAACATTTCTTACACATTCTCTGCCGAACATCTGTAACAAGCTTGGTAGGTCTCTAGCGGGTTTTACGTGCCATTGTCGTTCTTTACGAGAAAGAAAATCATTGATAAAACTTGTATGCGGATCTAACGAGTTTGACGAGTCAGCGCCCATCATATGAATCTCTCTCTCTCTCTCTCTCTCTCTCTCTTTCTCTTTCTCTCTCTCTCTTTTTCTTTCTCTCTCTCTTTCTCTCTCTCTCTCTATATATATATATATATATATATATAAGAGAGTGAGACAGAGAGAGAGAGAGAGAGACATAGATAGATAGATAGATAGATTAGAGTTCTTGTGAAAGGTTGTATATTCATAAATAATATTGTTGAAATATATGGACATCGAATAAACGAGCAAAACAAGGCCTGCTACGTAAAGAAATCTGAAATGTAATTATTTGACTAAAAGCAAATAAAATCAATGAACGTCTTTCATGAAAAGAATATAAAATAATTTTATAAAAACAAAAGTCTTACTGTACATGAGACTAAAAAGAATGTCGAGATTCTAAAAATCATAACAAAATCCATATTGAAATGTTTTTGACGATTTTTTCTCAGGTTACACATCGGAAAATGTGCCTCTTCGCACTTTCGCGCCTATCCACCACAAATTCTCTTTGGTTTTTTTCTCGCGTTTAATAATTGATGAGAAATATTGAAACCCGCTAAACAGAGTGAATTGTAGAAAGAATAACACTGGAATCAATTGAAATAATGAACTACTCACAAGAACGATCAGAATGAAATACATACATACATACATACATATATGACGAAGAAAGGAAAATCGTAATGACGAAAAATGGAATTCGAAAGAAAAGAAAGCGAAGTTAAAAAGATATATGAATGAATCAAGATGGGGAGAAAGGAAGCAACAGGGTAAAAAAAGTGCGTGAACTAAAAATAAAATCGACAGAATAAGAACGAACTGAAATAAAATAAAAAGTGTTGAGGAAAATGAGCAAGACAATGTAAAAAGAAAACGAAGAAAGAAAGAAAAATGCAAGATGTATGAAAAAGAACGAAAAAAAGGGGAAAAAAAGAAAGAAAAGCAAATAAAGAAAAAGAAATAAAAACATTTATAAGAACAAAGACATGACAAGAGAAAAGGCACAAAGTAAGGGAAACGGAAAATATTAACAACGAAACAAGAATAAAAATTATTTTAAGAGAGAAAAAACGAAAAAAAAAAAAACGAAAAATAGGAGAAAAAATAATGAGAAAAATTTAATGAAAATTAATAGACGATATTAAATGTTAACTACACTGATGAGCTTTTTTTACCTTGGTTCCACGACTACACATATTTAAGCGTGTTACTAGATTGGCACCTAAGACTCACCATTTTACCGTTGAACTTGTTTGACGCAACACTTTTACTTTAACAGGTTCTTTTTCTTACGCTTCCAACCTGTGGTCACTCCCTCCCGATTTCTTGTTTCTCTGATGATTACAATCCTCAAAAATTTAAATGCAACGTCAATCGTTATCTTCTATCTGTTTTAGTTTGTCTTTTCCACAATTCTCCCCATTCTCTGTCGTCTTATTCACTTTCATTTTCACT